AATGCCCTGGTACCAAGGCCCCGCCCCACAGGAGGCGGGCGGAGCAGCCTGTGCACTGTGGGCAGTTCGATGGGTTGGTGGAGCTGGCGACGATCTGTGCCCTCTGCAACGACTCGGCGCTGGACTACAACGAGGTGAGACCCAGCGCTCTTCCGTGACCTCTCTAGTATCCAGGTGACCCTTCTCCCAGAGTCTCAAAACTCCCAGGATTGGCAGTCCCTGCCTCTTTGGAGTGCCACACCCCGGGAACACTGCCATCTCTGCAGACCCCCACCGCCACTGCTTTCTCACACTGGCTTTGAGACTGTGCCCCAGGGGTCTCGGGCTGTGGAAGACGGTAATGTAAGGGACTGTAGTGCCACGGTGTCGAGGAAGAGATTTGGGCAGTAGGACTAGGGAGGGTGTTTACGGTAGAAGGCACAGCCCAGAAAAGGCCCACAGGTCATAACAAGCTGGTGGGATGCAGGCATTGAATGCCCTTAGCTGCTGCTGGAGCAGTGGAATGGAACATGCATGAAGATACTCCTGCCTGAGGGAAGGACTTGACCAGATCAAGTCGGGTCCCATAAAGAGCTGAAGGCGGTAGACAGCCACCAAGGGGTTTTGAGCAGAGGAGTGATATATATGGTCAGATTTGCATTTACAAAAGATCGCCTAGGCTTCTGTGTGGAGGATGGAATAGACAGGCCAAGAGTGGATTCAGGGAGCCCCTGTGTGTTCCCCCAGGTCAGAGAGTTGCTGGCTGGGGCTCCAGGGAAAGGGAAGAAAGCGTGGGTTGGAGGTTTAGGGTGGGACTTGGTGACTGGTTAGGTGAAAGAGACGGAGGGTACCTCCTGGTTGTTGTCCTGGCTGGGACTGTCCACTGGAGTGGCAAATAGAGGGATAAGGGGAGGTGGCCTGAGGGTCACTAAGGAACCAAGTCCAACAGGCAGCAATTAGATATGTGGGCTTGGAGCTCAGGGGAAAGGTCACTGCCAGGCTGGGCACTGGAAGTCAAGCACATGACAGGTGGGGGAAGCAGGGGGTATATGAGGCCTCAGGGAGAGAAGGTGGGAGGGAAGGAGCAGGGTCTGGACAGCAGAGTTTAGAAAGAGGAATCTGGGGAATCTGGGGAAGGAGGCTGAGAAGGAGCCTGCAGCGAGTGAGGTGGATAGCAGGGAGGATACATGTTCACTGATGCCTAGGGCGGGGGTGGGGGTGGGGATGGGGCGGAGGGGGTGTCAGAAGGGAAGGGAAGCCTCAGTGCCAGACACTCTCCAGACCCCATGTCAGCTGGACTGGGAAGGGCCCCACTGGTCTGCAGCAAAGGAGGTTAAAGGTAACTCTGGTAACGAGAGCTCCAGGGGCCAGGAGGTAAGGTAAGGATGTGGGAGGTAAGGATGGGGGTCCACTGGAGGCTGCCCTGCTCTTCACCCCCTGTACTCTGGGCCCCACCAGGCTAAGGGCGTGTATGAGAAGGTAGGAGAGGCCACGGAGACGGCTCTGACTTGCTTGGTGGAGAAAATGAATGTGTTTGACACCAACCTACAGGCCCTATCCCGGGTGGAGCGAGCCAGTGCCTGCAATGCGGTGAGCACAGTGAGGGCTCTGGCCACAGGCCTCGCAGCTGGGGCGTCTGGGCATCGAGAGAAGCAAGGGAGGAGGACAAGGTCTTGGGAGGCCTCTGGGAGGAGGAGGGGCCTCAGGCCCTGGTAAGACTTGGCTAGAGAGAAAAGAGAGGAGAAGACTGAGTGTGGGCGAGGAGCCAGAGTTGGGAAGTGCACAGCATGGTCAGGAAGTGGCAACCTTTTGGGAGGGAGGGAGATGGGGGCTTCAAATGTCAGGATCAGAGGTGGATAGACATCATCCCACAGGGAGCAAGAGGCTCTTCGTGGGATCAAGCTGCTGGAAAGAAAGCAGTGAGAGTTTCTGGCTCCGCCCCTCACATCCTGACCCTTCTGAGCCCCATAGGTCATCAAGCAGCTGATGCGCAAGGAGTTTACTCTGGAGTTCTCCCGAGACCGGAAGTCCATGTCAGTGTACTGCACGCCTACTGTCCCTGGCCTGGCAGCCCAGGGCAGCAAGATGTTTGTGAAGGTGGGGCCTGCCTAACTGGCCTGGGGCTTCTGCACATGTGGAGTCCCTGGGAGATCTGATCTTCAGTCCTCTGAAGAGCTAGTGACTGCCACTGTGGGAGACTGAGGGAGGTGTGAGGCCCATTGTCGAAGCAGTGAATCTAGAATGAGGGTGGTCAGCCTTCCATGGGGAACGGGGAGCAGGATCCAGCCTTAGTGGAGATAAAGCCAGGGCCAGGCACCAAGGCTTGCCGCTCACCATGGTCCCAACTCTGGGCTGAGAGGCACTGCCTTGTCACATGACCTTGGGGTCACCTATGCTCCTCCATGGGCCTCAGTCTCCCCATCTGAATGGCAAGGTCAAGCTGGAAGATCTCAAAAGCCTTTCACCTCTGATGGGGGTGTTGCAGTGGTTGGTGCCCATCTTTGGTGCTTCACGTTCTGGAAACTGAGTCCTAGGGAAGGGGAAGTCTCCCATCCAGACTTCTGCCCATCACACTGCCTGTCACTGCTTTTCAACCTGAAGTAGGAATGACAGTCCTAACTTCACACTGAAATGGAGGTTTTAACCCCTTTTGAAATGAAAAGGCTTCTGTATTGGGATCTCGGGCCACCTTGAAAACTTAGCAGTTGGAGTGCCCTTTGGGGAGAGGGAGAAGGTGTTGATGGAGGGTTCAGAAGCTATTCCCAAGGTGAGAACAGGGGCAAGACCCAAGGTGAGACCCCAAGGCTAGTGAGGAACCTGTCACCCCCAAGAACACCTTCCCAGAGCCACACCGTCAGCATGGTTCTATTTCTGGTCCCCAGGCAGGGCTCAGCTTGCCTCCCATTGCTGAGCCCCCTACAGAATTGGGATCCCAGCCGCACCAGATTGGCAGGGAGGCAGGACCTGTAGGAGGGCTGCCCGTCCTCTCCCCCCTCCCCAAATGCTGCAGCAGACCTTCCCAGCTTTGGGTTGGTAGGGGGGGAGGGTGCCACCCAATGGGCAGCCACAACCCCCCCCCATTCCTTTTGGGTTTTCTCACAGTGAGGCCCCCTTGGTTCTCACTCTGAACTTTCAAAGAATGGAATCTGGTCCATATCTTGCTTTGTGTCCCTTTGGATGGCATTTTCCCATTTCTGGGCCTCAACTTCCTCAGTTGGGCAAGAGGGGAAGGAAGGGGTCCTGACTGACAGAGTTGCCTCTCCCCTCACCCACGATGCAGGGGGCTCCTGAGAGTGTGATCGAGCGCTGCAGCTCAGTCCGAGTGGGGGGCCACACAGTACCCCTGACTGCCACCTGCAGGGAGCAGATCCTGGCCAAGATTCGGGATTGGGGCTCAGGCTCAGACACGTTGCGTTGCCTGGCGCTGGCCACTCGGGATGCACCCCCCAGGAAGGAGGACATGCAGCTGGACGACTGCAGCAAGTTTGTGCAGTACGAGGTGGGCGCCAGGGCAGAGTCCCAAGGCTGGGGGCTGTGCGTCTCCCTGCAAAGGCTGGGCAGGTAGGAGGTTGAGCATGGGCCCAGGCTCCACTTGCATCTGCCCCCTCCCTACAGACGGACCTGACTTTTGTGGGCTGCGTGGGCATGCTGGACCCTCCAAGGCCTGAGGTGGCTGCTTGCATCGCACGCTGCCACCAGGCCGGCATCCGTGTGGTCATGATCACAGGGGACAACAAAGGCACAGCTGTGGCCATCTGCCGCCGGCTTGGCATCTTCGGGGACACAGAGGACGTGGTGGGGAAGGCCTACACAGGCCGCGAGTTCGATGACCTCAGCCCCGAGGAGCAGCGCCACGCCTGCCGCACGGCTTGCTGTTTTGCCCGTGTGGAACCTGCGCACAAGTCCCGAATCGTAGAGAACCTACAGTCCTTTAATGAGATCACCGCCATGGTGAGGCCACAAGATGGGAGCCGAGCTGAGGTGGGGAGGAGTGAGGGGGACACTGGCCATAGAGCTTGGAAAGAGCAACCCATACCACCTCTGCTTCTGCTTCGTTCTTGTTTTTTCCAACGGTTTATTACAAAAAATCTCAAACGCAAGAAGAAATTAAAATAGTTTCATAGTAAACACCTGTAATATCTATGATCTAGATTCTATAAGTAATATTCTGTTTGCTTTGCAAATACCTATCCATCTATCCATCCTTCATCCATCTTTTCTTAAATAAATTTCAAAGTAAGTTGCAGACATCAGTACACTTCACCCTCACATAATTTAGAATGCATACTCTAGAGAGCAGCAGTTCTTTGTGGTTCTATTTTTTTCCTTTTTGAGGCAAGACTTACATGCAATGAAATGCACAAGTCTTTTTTTTTTTTTAAAGATTTTATTTGTTTATTTGACAGACAGAGAGAGAGAGAGAGAGAGCGAGAGCAGGAACACAAGCAGGGGGAGTGGGAGAGGGAGAAGCAGGCTCCCTGCGGAGCAGGGAGCCCGATGCGGGGCTTGATCCCAGG